GTGAGATTTGGCATTGCCCAGAGCATGATCCTTACAGGTCTCAGGGCAAGAGGGACTTCCTGATATCTTTCATTTCTTACTGTGTTTTAACATATTTCATTCACTCTGTTCAGGCAAAATTATCACCCAGTTACCACCTGCAAGGATTCCAGCTTGGGTTTAAAACATGACTTCTAACAAATACCTGTAAATAGAGTAAAAACCTATGAATGGCTTCAAACACTTTTGGTAGCACTAGAATAGTTGAAGGAATGGTTGAAGCTCATTTTTTTTCCATGGGCAATTCCAATCCCTTAATGAGAAGGTTAAAAACATGATTTCGACACAATCCAGATTTCCTCTGTATCTTTTCCCTTCCTTTCTTAAAAGCATTTCTACACAAACACAAAATGTTTTTTTCTGTAGGAATTTTCCCTCAGTTGCTCCAAAAAGATCACTCTTCCACAGGGAGGATGTGTGTTTATGAGAGACAGTAAAACAACTTGTTATCAGTAAAGCCTGGGTTATATCTGAGCCATCATTCCTATTGTGATTCAGTGTGGCTGAAAAGATAAAAACCCAGGGAATGGACTCAATTCCTGAGCTGCAGGAACAATTCCAATTCTTTCCTCAGCCAGCTCCTAGCAGAGCTAAAATTTTACAATCAATATCTGTATCTGGGCTCATACATTTATCTTTTCCACCTTTCTCCATTTACCTGCCTGCCAGAGTGCCCAGCTGAGCCTGATGTCCTTCATCAGCCTCTCAGCCCGGGCTGCTGCACTGTGCTATTGTCTGTAAACTGCACTTCCAGCTGCATTTAAATCCTTACTTCTGCCAGGCTTTTCATTCAGTTCTCCAGCAACTGGCCCATGACTTGGGCTTCTAATTAGTGCTGTAATACGAAAAAAAATCTTCCTGTGGATGCCGTTGAAAGACAGTGCTGTATGAAAAGAATGTCATTTGAGAAGCCCTGGTGGAGGGGGCGACAGATCCAGAGCGCTAACGAGCTTCAAAGCATCACCGATGGGCACTGAGGATGGTTTCTCATGTGGAACCTTGCTCACAGCCCTTAGCCAGCCCAGCTGGAAGCCCCAGAAGCCCAAGAAGCAGTTAACAGAGGTCCCCTGTCTGTGTGGAGCCCTGAGACTGCAGCAGCCTGATCCACACCCTTGGGAACTCCGGACAGATTTCCAGGCTCAGGGAATCCACAGCTCCTCCCAGCTGTGCCAGGAGATGCAGAGCAGCTCCCGAGGGAAGTCAGCTCCTTGCAGGTATTATCTGAGCTACCAAGGCACTGCACTGGGGTTTGGGGTACTCCTCCATCTCTTTCTGATCCAGCTACTCCTATTTTCCACTGCAGGGACAAAAGCAAGGATTGCCCATTAGGAGGGACAGGAACAATTCAAGAATGAGCTTGTAAACACCACTTTTGGAGTAGGCCCTGTGGTCATTTTAAGAAAATCCTCACAGGAACAATATTGCCTCCTCCCCAGGAAGGGAGAACCCCTGACAGTGGTGGAACCTCCCTGTGCCAGGGGTGAACACACTGGGAATCTGCTCATGAAGGAATTCCAGTGACTGTGTAAGGCAGAGACAGAAAGGGGGAAATTTAAGAGACAACAGAGAACAGCACACATCCATGAGTCAATCCCAATTATTTCCCTCCTGTAAAACAGAAATCCTGGGTCCTGTTGCAGCAGTGGCTCTCTGAAATAACCCCAGTAGAGCTCTGGGCTGCTCATGGGGACAGGTTAAAGAACAACCCAGTCCTGCTATTTCACCCCACACCAAGCTGATTGGCACCATGCAGGACAAAACTTCCCCTGGGAGCCACGGAACTCCTGCAGAAATCCCTTGGCAAGAATCAGAGGGAGGTTTGCAACACACAGCAGGTATCTGGGGGTTTGTTCCTCCCATCTGTGATTGCTAATCCCAGGAATCTGGGGCTAAATGTGCTCCAAACTCAGCATCTCTCACTGAGTGTGCTGAGATCTACCTGCACTAGGGCTCTGCTCAGGATATCCAGCTTTCTAACACTCCCACAGGATTTCTGTCAAAAGGAAAGTCCTTCTCATCTCCTTAGGATAGAGTGACATCTTGTGGTTTCTTCTTCTGTCCACCACTGACAAATAAAAATTAGCCAAAAGAGGCTTGAGTAAGTTGGGGTTTGTTTGGTGTAACAGCAAGATCTTATTTCTTTGAGCAATCTCACGTCCTTGATTCCCACACACTGGTACAAAAGTTCACTCTGCCACTATCAAGGCTTGTGGAAGGAGAGTGAAAATTCCTGCTTGGAAAGGCAACAAACCCATTCTAAGTCATACAACAAGACAAATTTTAGTTGAATACAGACTCAACAAAAACCCTCAGGTGCTCAAGGTCACGTACAAGTGGGATCCTAGCTGCCAGATAAATCCACTTTCAGTAGTAGCACCACTGCTGAAGGGATTCTTGGGGAAAACCTTTCCAGGTGCAGCTCTGGAAATCATTCCCACCTGCACTCCAGGACGTGTGTGCAAGGAAGAGAAGAGGATCCCATCAGGAAACTGCACCCAGCAGGACCCCAGCAGCCTCACACCAGGGGCCACTTCATCAGCACCAACAGGGAAGTTCCAGTGATTTATTTTCTGATAGAGCCTCCAACACAAAACAGTTTTAAACTGAAGACTACACACCTCAATTCACAGATGAGCTACAAATGACAAATTCCCCCTACCAAAAAAAAAAAAAAAAAAAAAAAAAAAAAGCCAAAAAAAGACAAACCAATTTTGCTAGTTTTGTAGTGAAAAAGCAGTAGTGTCTTTGAAAGGATATTATACAAAATCTGGAGTAAAAACCATCATGGAACAGCATTCATATACCTAATAACTGGCAACAATACTTAAGATATTACTACTACTTAAAACTATGGAAATAAATCAATTCCTGTTGTTGTAAACCAGGTAATTCTCAATTCCAAAGTAACAGAAAAAGGTTATTTTGCATCTGTAAGGCCTGGGAGAGCAGCAAGTGAAATCACAAGTGTTTGCATTTCTGTTCCTGCTGGTTCTCCTATGTGCCCACTCAGGCAATTCTGGAAATTTGATTTGGAATTTGTGATTCTGCATCATTCCATTGTGGTTTTGCTCAATGCAGCTGCAGGGGAATTCTGTGCATTTGCCTGATATCCTCTCTAAGCACTTCTGCCTGGCAGCTGTCCTTCCAAAATCCGAAGCTTTAGCCCAAATCTGTTTTCAGCCCTTCCCTTGGTAAGGAATATATATATTGCAAGGAATTGATACAAAGAAAAGACAAAATTGATCAGGAAGAACTTTTGATGGACTGAGAATAAACATGACTGAAGGTTTCTCATGTCTTTTCTCAGTCAGAGTGAACACCACAAAAATCAGCCTGAAAAAAAAAACATGTTAAAAATGTTGAAAAGCTTAATAAACAAGGCTCCCCTAAGATTAAAGCCACAGGAGATCCTCAGCACATGGTGACTTTTACAGACACGAGGGGATGTCCACAGAGCAGTTTAAATGTGAAGAACCAGCCCTTGTGTAACCCACATCAAAGCTCATTTTACCTGCAGTGAGACAGTTGTCTTGGTAAAATTAGCCCCTGTTCCTTCTGAGCAGCACTCCCTATTCCCTCCCCAGCATAACATTTTTAGCTACACAAAGCTAAAATTACCATTTCCATCTAAATCTGAATACAAAAGCTTTCTCACCCAGTCCAGACTATTATATAGAAAGGTGCTAAGCACCAGCACCACACTTAGGAACCCCATTTGTGAAGAGGTTCAAGGAGGAAGGCTGGAGATGTGTTCAAAGCCCTTTCTCCAAGGGAACATTCCCAGCCTCCACGGAGAACACCGCTCACGTCCCGGTCTGACCTGCAGGAGCTGCACCAGCAGTAGAAAAAGAGTGAACAATGTGTCAGATTTTGGAAGTTCTCCTTGCATGAATAACTTTGGGAGCAATATCTCTGCTGTTCTGAAGTGACTGCCAGGGAAGCCTGGAACTGTACTTCAGCCAAAATGCATTTGTTCCCATAGAATTCCAAAGAGAAAACTCCTGTTGACTGAGAAAAACCCATTTATTATCCAAAGGTTTGTATTTATGATCTGTTTCAAAGGAGCTCCTCCCTCCTATTCTCTCTCACCTTTTTAATAACCTCTTCTCTTTTTGTATTTTGCACACTGAGGGAGGAAATAATTCTATGTCTCTCTGCTGACAGTGGGTATTGTTCCTCCTCTTCCAAATGGAAACAGCAACTAAGGCCCCTGCTAATATTTCCTTGTGCTATGGATCTTTCTCCTCTCTGTCAGTCTATTCTAAAGAAAAATTAGGAAATTAAAAGGATGATATTTCTTTTTATATTTATTTAGACTAGAACATTTTTAGACAATTTTAAGTTGGGTTTTTGTTGTTTTTTTTTTTTTTTTTTTTTTTTTTTTTTTTTTTTTTTTTTTTTTTGTGAAAGAACATTCTAGAGCCCTGAAATGAGATACTGAGGAGTAGAACTGCTGTGGGGGAGAAAAAATATGTCCACACGAATGCCATTACTACTGAACTCCTTTACTTCAGTCACACACAGAGCTTTCTACACTGACAGGTCTCAAATATTCATGCGATCGGGTTTTATTGGCATCAACACTTAGGGGAGGTCAGTGGCAGAGTCACATGCAGGAGCATCCAGAAAAGCAGCACTTGAGAATCACGTGGGAGAGTTCACACAAAGTCTAGCACAGTCAGAGAATCAAATCCACTCGGCTCAGTTAGCTCCACTTTCTGATGGAGCAGTGCAGCACAGGCTGTGATGTCCCCACTGTGCCAGGGACAGGATGAGATCACAGTGTCCACATGTGCTTCTTCAGCTCTAGAAATGCCCACCAAGCTTTGCCATTTGCATTATTCAGAGCTGCACACATTCTGCTCCTGTCTCATTGATCAAGTCAGTCTTTGGACTTTAAAAAAATTACAAATAATGGATTTGCAGTTTTCTGCTTTACAACTCACTAGAACAAGAAACAATTGTTGACATGTACACAACTTTATTTTAAGGACACAGCAATCACAATGACAGAAACAGAACCATTACTTTAATACTGTAAGCTTTCCTCTGGGAACTGACTCGCACAGTTAGATCCAAAAGCGTTTTGAAACAGTATCTTGGGGGAAAACACAGCAAACCTTAATATATTAACTTCAAACTTTATGTGCTTATCTCCTCCTTTTGGTAGCTGGTGGCAGTTAAAGCTTTTCAAAGTCATGGCCACTTGAATTCATTGCCTCAGGGTGCATTACCCTTCCCATGAATAACACGGTACCTGTGGAGAAAGTGGGAAAGGAGGAAGGCAGGGAAAGGTGTCAGAAGCAGAAGAAGCTGAGGATTGAAGATGATGAATACCAACAATAACCTCTAGAGCAGTGCTGTGTGATTGTTAAAGGAACAAATGCCTCAGAACTTGGTACAAGAAATGGCTCAAGAGCCCTGCTTGAAGACAGCAACCAAACCTGAGCACTTGGGCTTGTCTGGAGAGGAAGGGCAGTCAACAGGATTTTTACGAAAGGTTTCCAACCTCGGATTTCTGGATTAGTAACAAGCTTTGAGGCTTTAGCTACAGTTGTTGGCAACCCCTCTTTCTACATGCAACAAGGGTTCTGCAATTTAAGACCTGCCCCAAAGTGACCAAGTTCCACTCTGTCCTGATTTGAACTTTTTGGGGAGATTTTTGGATACTGAGCAGCAATAAAGGCCAAATACCCTCCTCCACATATATTTTCTGTCTAATGCATCTACAGCAGTAAGAATATTCAATTTTATTAGGGTTAAAACCCCCTAAGAGTTGGTATCCTGCCTTGCTGGCCTGGTTTCAGCTGGGATGGATTTTATTCTCCTCTCAGTGGACTCTTGTTCAGTGCTGTGCTTGAATGAAGTCCCACAGGTGACTCTGCCTAACCAGACTAAACCTCACTGCCACTGAATGGTTTAGTAAACACTGATCCTGTGATGGGAGCACAAACACAGACCCATAAAAACTCCGTGGGTGCACAGCAATGTTTTATCACCCAGTCACATCCACATCATTACAGCAAATTACAAATATGAGACTCAGGAATTACTTAATCCTTGCCCCTTTTGCTGCTGAGTGCTGCTCTCATCCCTCACCTGCCACAGAGCACTTGGAGAGCACAACAGAATTGTTCCCAGCTGTAATGTCCCTCCATTATGCAAATCATTTGATTCTGGGAATGTATTTCACTGCTCTGACTGCAGCCAAGCTCTCAGGGAGTACAATGATTATGGATACTCAGGGCAGTAACACTCTGTTCTCACAACAGAAATGGTGAATTTTTCATTTCTGTGAGTGTTTTTCAGGGTTATGTCAGATGTTGGTGTTCTATTTGGACAAAGGTTTAGGGCCATGGAGAGGGTGAAGTCTTTCAACATTGGGCATTTTAAAATAAACTAAAGGAAATTCATAATACAAGCCCAGTCCATTGGTCAAAACATGCAATTTTCCTTTGACTGCTTGAGGATGTGCTGTGAAAAACTTAGAGAAGTCTGCAATATTCTCACCTGTTCTTCTGTTTCTGACCAAAAAGAAGAAGGGATGGTCCACTATGACTTGGGGGTAGAGCACTGCCATTCTGCTGATGGCAATCATTCCTGGAGGAAACAGAACACAGAACTTTGTCAAACAGCTCTGCCTGTTCTCCTGCTCTTCCTGCAGCCATTGAAGTCCCACACTCAACCAAAAAACAGCAGGAAAATATTCACTGAAAAGGAAAGAGACCTGCAGAGTAATTGCCTATTCTGGCTTTAAGAATGATTAACAATTCAGAGTGCTGCAATTTCCCAGACTGAGGGAGCAGCATATAAATTTTAAGATCCAGAGCCTTCAGAGGAGTTATGAGTCCTGCTCACTCACAGAGGGAAGTGCACTGCATTAACCAGCACTGCTGACCTGTTTTACACAGTGGAGAGGGAAAGGGAACCCTTAATAACTAGGGAATATGCAAAAAATTAAATAGGCTGATCCTGCAGCTTTTGGCTGGTGTCTTTAAATAATGCAGAGCTGAAGGTAAAATCATCTGTGAATCAGGCAGAATTTGGCCCTTTGTTATTTTTATTTGGAGGTGCATGGATTTCTCCAGGATATTATTACTAATTCCTAGTGTTTAATTTACTTCTAAATTCTCACTCCATTGTTCATAAAGACTGGAGTATGTCCATAGAGACAGCTGGGCACGATTCAGCCCAGACCTGGCACGTAATTCTTCCTTTCCTCAAAGACTGGCAAAGTAGAGGCAATTAGAAATTACCTAATGATACATATGGACAACAAATGGAACTTATTTTCATGTGACAATCATGTAAACCAAGAACCTGCCCCCAGCATTAACAGGGGACAGCTCTGCTTGTGCATTCAGCACTTCCCATCTCATATCTCTGAATATGAGCTGCATTAAAATGCAGCTGCCACAACAACCCTCATCCTTCCCTCTAACTCTGCTGGATCAAATGCCTCTGACCATCTCAATTAGCAGGTGAAAAATGATGAAAGCTCAAGTTCCATAAAGGAAACAAACTGCAGTCTGTACTCTCCTGACAATCAGAAACAAAATAAAGAAGAGGTTTTTCAGAGGATGCTCAAAATTCTTTGTAAAACATGTTACAAAAATGCCAACACTTCTGATTTGCAGAATTCTCTTCTGCAAGCAACACACTTGCTATGCTGTGTCTCCATGCTGCTATTTAGCTTTCCTGGCTATACAGCAAATCAGTTGTAAAAAATTAATTAGCACAGAATACTCAGACATTTGATTTAATTCTGCTTTTCAGTCAGGTACCTGAGGCAGCAGCAGCTTCTGATCCTTCCTCATTAACTTCTAGAAATGCCTTGTGAAATGCCTTTGCAAGGTAAAGTTCTTTGTTATCTGCAGAGGAAAGGGGAACATATTTCAAGTGGCTCAACAGTAAGATTGAAGCATTCAAAGAACCCTCCCCAAACACTGCCAAAAACCCAACACTATTATCCACCTTTTACACCAGGCAGGGAAGGAGATGAGCTCTCTTGCATTAAAACACCTTCTGCCAATACTTTTTAACAGCAGCATTTACCTCACTCACATTTGTAGTGCTCTCCTGCACCATGGATATTAAAATAGCTCAGGACTACCTGGAGCCCAGTATAGCAGAGAGGGCAAAAACAGCCCTTGGAATCAAGATTTTAAATACAATTAGTGGGGAAAACTATTATGACATTATAGGCAAATACTCAGACTTAAAAATATTCATTTCTGCAGTAGGTACAACACAGACTTCCTCCAGGAAAATGAGGTCTTTTCCTTCTTCCTCTATTATATTTACAAGAAGCTGAAGATAAATATTTATTGCAAGAAGCACCACAGAGCTGGTTTTTTTCAAACTTGTTTCCCATCCTTTGTCAGTATTTTAATTCCAGTCCCAGTCTGCTCCTGCTGCAGCCAGTGAATGTTTCACTGGTTTGTGTTGGATGCTGAAGGATCAGCTCTACTGGAATACTCAGTGGCTGTAATACCAAAGCCACGAGGAGCAGCAGTTGGATAAGTCTTTCCCCAGCAGATCTCATTTGCTGCTCTGTGCACTCAGCACTGAATTAAACCTCCCAGTTCAACTGCTGCACTTCAATCACACCAACAGAAGCCCCAGATCATCCCCTCAGAGACTGTGTGCAATAAAACACATAAATAGATGAGGCTGTTAATACTGGTACCAGTTCTAGACTTCAGTCCCAAGCCTTCAGCAATGCTGTCCTGAAAGCTGAGATCGAGTTTCTACCCTGCTTCTTTAAAACATGGGACATGCAGCACCCACTTGTCTTTAAACTTGTCTTTAACATTAAGCAAAGCTCTTAAATCCAAATACATTTTAATGTTCATTAACAAGGAAATGCCCACTTAGCCTAATCATGTATTTCAATTAATTCTTTATTACTGCAGCACTGAAGCCTGATCCTGTGCTCTGTAATATTCACAGAAATATTCCACATTTTTTCTCCCAGTGCTTTATTTTGCATAATTTGGTGGTGCATATGGAACTCCAAGGTGTATTCCTGATGGGAAACGGCACCTCAGAAGACTGGTCTCCACCTGATGGGCTCAGAGCCCTAATTCTGAGAGCACAAACATTGCAGCCATTTGCCATCAGGTATAAAAGGTTGCCTACTTGTGAATGCTTTCAAGATCTGAGTATTAAAACCAACGTTTTAAGTTGGCAGGAACACAGAAAGTGCCTCTGCTGATAAGAGCAGTAGATCCAGTTACCAGCTATGGAATTGTTGCTTCAGAAGAAGATGGGGAAAGCCCTGTGGATGAAAACTGCAGCACAACTTACAAGAGAAAAATACCCTCTCACCCAGCATGTGCCTTATACCCTAACCCAAGTTTCTATACACAGAGTGCCTTAATTCAGTGTAGTATAGAGACTTCTGATTGCTCTGGAGCAATTTCATTTTTTTTCAGTCCTGCCAATCTCAAGGAACACCCAGCAAAGATCCCTGTGGTTAAGTTTTTCATGAGAGAAGCACTTTCTATTTGTTTTCCATTTGTTGCCTTTCACTTCATTGGATATCTTTGTCCTTGGATGATGAAAAGAGCAATTCCACATCCCAAATTACCTTCTCTAGATTCTTCTCTGTATATTGCCACTATCATATCCTTCCCATTCATCTTTCCCTGCAGTGAATGAATCTATTTTCCTATGAAAGCACAATGTTGTCCCTGGGAGTTCAGGCAGCCTTTCCTTTGATCCAGGTTGTGACTGTCACATCCCTGCCTGCCACGCTCCCATCTCACACCCATCTCCTCAGGATTATCCACCTTTCCTTGCAGCTTTCCCAGGGGCTCACCTGAACATCTCCCATCACTTCATTTCTCTCCAGGAGCTTCTCTGATTGTGGATTTCCACAAGAACCAGCCTGACTTGGTTGTGAATATCTCAGGGAAGTCCCCTGGGGATTTGGTGCCAAAGTTTCAGCTTTGTGCAGGCCCAAGGCTGACCCATGGGGAGTGGGAGGGAGCTGGAGCTGCCCCCTAATGAACACGACTCTGCTGGCACCACACTTCATTTGTCACTACTCTCCATATGTCTGCAAACTCCCACTCAGCTGCCAACTGGCTGCTCTGCAAGTCTCATTAAAAAAAAAAAAAATACCATGTGGGTTTATATTGGCTCTTCTTGCTTAGGCTGCCCCAGAAAAATTATATGGATGTCAGTCAAGACTTCCAAGAGTTATTTACTGGACTGATGCTCTCCTAACTACTTCATATTGTGAAAGGAAGTCACTGAGATCCCTTTGTTGCTTGCTGGCACCCAGGTCAGCTTGCATTAAAAGCAGCTGCTTTTAAGGTTCTATAAAACAGACAGGAATATTATAATCATTTGAAGGAGAAGGGGAGTTTTAGTATTGAAATTAGTTCAATGCTAAGTCTTGAGTGGTGTTAAAACACTCAAGCAGCAAATTGATGTGATATGATAAAATCACAATGGTAACATCTCAAATAGCAGAAGTTGTTTCAAGATTATTTTGGACACCTGATGGAATCAGATGCAAGTAAATACTGTCAGAGTCTTTTCTGAAAGTGAGAGCCAGGATACAGGAGAGCTGACAGCCCAACAGGAATGTCCTCCTACTCACTCGTGGCAATTGTCAAAGAACTTAATTTCTGCAAGGGAGTAACATTTGAAAAGTGCACCTGGATTAACACTTTCTCTTTGGCTGCTCAGAATCCAGACATTCCTGAAGGTAAAGCTGCTCCTTCTGGCTCCATTTTTCAAATTGAGGGGAAACAGCAAAAAATTCTGAATATTGAAAAATAATCCTATCATTTGGTTTATATCCACTAAAGCCACACAGAATTTTGCTGAGCTCACCAATCTGCCTGCAGCTGGTGACAGGATTAGGGTCACTGAAATTGCAGGAGACTTTCCCTGGCAGCAATGCCAGAGCAGCAGAACAAGAGGAGAGGATTTTGAAACACAACCAAATTTCTCAAAAATCTCTTTAGATTTAATTTGATTTATATTTTCCTAAATTAAATGTCCAGTTAAAGATTTTGTTGAAATACCTTCATTTACCTCATCAAGTGCCAGATTTTCCAGAGGGCTGACCCTGAGATGCACATAAGCTTCCAACTCCCACTTCCCTGCTACCTGATGTCTCTTTCAGGGGTTTGTAAAAGTCAGCTTTAAACAATTTGTCTTTATGACTTATTCTCCCTTCCTCCAGCCATATTTTAAATTATGAAAATTAGAAAGAAGGAAAGTATTCTGTATTTTAATTACTTAAAACTTAATTTAGACAGCATCATCTGTGGGGTTTTCATTAAAGACATTACCTCAAAACCATTTTTTCATGCTTAATTTGCAAATAACCTTTTAATGCCCAGGTGGAACAACCTATTTTTAGTGAAAAGCAGGAAAGCTACAATAAAACCCATGAATTTTCTCTATACACTGCTCTATACTTAAGTAACAAGTAAATCTTTAAAGAGGAGTTAATTCAGTCATGCAGAACGCAGTGTTTTGATTTTGCACAGTACAATTGTCAGAAATATAAAACTTTAAACAAATCATCAGTCACATGGATTGAGAGACAAGCACATGATTCTTTCTGCCAGCCTCTTGATAAATAGATGGCCCTGATATATAAATGAATTTTACATGGATCTAAATAAAAGCCAGGTGCTGCCTTTGTGGTTCCCTGTGCATTTTCCGTTCTCCTTGGAGCTTTTTCTCAAGTAAATAATTTCCCATAAACAGACCAGAATTTAGTGGGAAGCTGACTTTTCTTTGAGCTGACAGAGGAATTGAAGGTGTTTTTCTTCAGAAAAATGCTATTTCTTTGAAAAAAGGGGTTTTTCATTTATTTCAACTCTTTTCATATTAGCTAAAGCCAGCTTTTCCCCAGTTTCACTGGAAAAATGGAAGTGGCAAACCAGTGGAATAAGCTACATGATACACTATAAAGAATATTCCAAACATAGCAAAAATGAAAGGATATGAACATCACAAATATTCCTCTGTGAATGTGGGAGGAAGGTTTGCCTTTATTACCAGTGTGTTTTGACTGAGGCACACAGGTGTGATTGTCCCAGGGTCAAACAAGAACCTACCTGGATGGCTGGGGAGTATCACATAGAGCTAAAAAAACCCCAATCTTACAGGTGGAAGTGTGCCACCTCAATACAGAGCAGCTGTGGCTGCCCCTGGATCCCCTGAAGTGTCCAAGGCCAGGCTTGGAGCAACCCACGATAGCAGAAGGTGTCCCTGCCCACGGCAGGGGGTGGAATGAGATGTTCTTTATGGTCTCTTCCAACCCAAACCATTCTGTGACTCTATGAACAGCTTTAGGAGGTATTAAAAGCATAAATATCTCATTTCCACGTGGATTTTAAAAGGTACTGAATATTTCAACTTCTGCTGAATGCAGGTGGCATTTGTAACTAAATGGCTTTTATCTCCAAACTCTTCCTTCCCGTGCTGCTTCCAGGTATCTGGGAAGGGGAATTAATTGTGCAGCAGCTCAATGCTCCTCATGCTGGGAACAAACCCTGGGTGTGAATCCCATCTGCCACCCATGCACTGCTCCATGGTGCAGCTGCCTCTTGCAGGGGATCACACTTTGTCTCCAGTTCTAATGAGACCCAGTTCTGAAGCACTCAGAGTGAATTTTCCCAGGTGAAAAATGTATTTCCTCATCTACCTCGAGAGACAAGAAGTTCTTACCAGACATGGCAGTGAGGTCAGCACTGCTGCTGAACAGCTCTGTAATTCCCAGACCTCTCCAGACATCCTTCAGATCAATTTCCTGTTCTACTGTGAACCTGGAGAATGGAAGAGAAAATTATAAAAAGCCAGATGTAAGCACTACTTACCGTTATTAGAAGATTAAATTTTCTAGGTGAAAACACCACGATAAATAATGCAAAGTAGGAGATCCGGTGCTAGTGACACCTTCCAAAAAATGCTTATAAACAAATGAGTTTACTCACAGCTGGATTTTTTTCTAGTATAGAAGCAATCAAAAATATGCTAATGGTATGTGCAGACCCTGCCCATAAAACTGCAGTGTAAAATTATGCAGCAGCTAATGGAAATGCTTACTTTTTACACAAGAGGTTTTCTCTAAAACCTGAATTTAATTGTGCAGATACTAGAACAGAATATCAAATGAGGCAAAGGACAGCACAACTTCCCAGAGAGCTGCTGGCAAAGGAGGAGTAAGACAGATACTCCATTTTTACTTTGATAGCATAAGAAAGACCAACTATGAATATGAATATAAAGCATTTCTGATTCAGCTTCTAATTAGTGTGGTGGCACAATTGTAATTGGGTTTTGATTGTGAGTAAAGAGTGAGGAAAACAAACAGTTGTTAGTGTAAATGCACTGAGTATAACCTGGCAAAAACTCTGTTCTAGGCTGGGTTAGTGTGTTGGAAGGACAAACTAAGATCTATCCTGAGGGCAGAATTTTGGACAACCTGGGATAGTGGAAAACAAGCAAAAGCTTGTTCCATTTACAGACTGATTTTCAAACATTGTAAAAGCTATGCCTGGTGTCAGTAAAACAAAAAAAAAAAAACTTTATGCATGGCCAGAAAGAGACTGGACAGCTGGAGAAACAGAGAAATATGGCAGAAAAATATTAGTAATGGCAGCCCCAAGCAGAAAATACCAGATGTCTCCAGATAAACACAGGAGAGTGACTATAACTGCTTGCATGGGGTGAGTTCTGGGTGCTCTGGAGAATGCCCAGATGAATTATAGTGATTTACAATGTGCTGGCAGTGGCTGGCTGTAGCTGTCCAACACAAAGCATGAGCTGTAGGACGCTGTTCTGCTTTCTGCAGCCACAGTTCAGTCCTTGGTGACAGGGCAAAGAAGTGCTAGAAGCAAATCAAAGTGCTCCTTTTTTTGGGATTAAACTCCCCAAGTCCATGGAAAAACAACATGTTCTTTTCAGGTGAAAGTCTGTCTCAGAGCTGTGGGGAGAGGACAGCTGATGAAAAGCTGAGATGTCCAACACCTTGGCATGCACCAGCCTTGGCAGCTTGAAAAAGAATCATCTGCACATCAAGCAGAACTGGATAAGAGTCAAGTGGATCTTCCTCACTTACACAAACCTGAAACAAATCCAGTACATAATCTACTTTCATAATGAACTTATAAATGACACTGGAAGCCAAAAATCTGGGGTGAAATGGATATCATCCAGAATTATCATTATCCAGAGAAGAATTTTAGGACTTAAAATGGGATCTGGAGATAGTTCAGGCCTGATAAATCACTGGTGGCATCAGCAGTGCTCATGTACCCTGCCCAGACCAATTCCAGGGCATGCAAGGAATAAAAACACAGGAACTGATTCTTGTGGTTTTATTGCCTTGGAAGTTCTCTAAAGAATCAGAAGAGACCAACAAAAATTCAAGTACTGAAGAAGCTTCTCATGGTGTTCTGGCAGCTTCCGCATCAGTTACTGTGGTAACAAGTCTACAAGTTGTTCATTCAATCAAATGTCCCTGACCTTTAGGCTCTAAAACTAAAACCACTTTTACTCTCACAAGACATTCGTAAAACATGTCCAGAACTACTTTAAAGACTTTGGTAAAAACCCTAAAAATGATGAATTGAGACTTGATTCCCAATGCTATAGAACAGTCCAGTCCAGAGGTCCTGCTTTGCACAGTAAAGAAGTCCACAGAAAATAAACTCAGAAATATTTTCTTCTATATTTACATTAAAATGTTTTGAAAATCACTTCCAACTGTACATACCTTACAGAGAATGCAAATGAATGTTAAAATGCATTTTATAAAAATTTCAGTGCTGTCTGTTTCCCTTTTTGATTTTTATTTCACCCCAAAATTAAATGTATCAAGCTTTCAACGCGATTTAGGTAGGAGCCAGCAGCGTCAAATCAGTAAGGAATATCAGGATAAGAAAGCAGCAAGCAAAGTCTGCATGGAAAACAAACTTTGAGGTAAAAAAATAAGAAAAATAACTGCAAACAAAGCATCTTTTTCCAACTGCAGAGTATCAAAGCAAGACAGCGATGGAAGGCAGGTGGGTTTGAGTCTCTGCCATTAGACAGCAAACACACTCGTGCTCAGTGATGCAACGTGACCCAGAAAGCAGCTGTGGCACAGGATGCTCCTGCACACTGAGCAAGGGGGAGGCTTGGGAGAGGTTTAGGGAAAAGATAAACCTGGGAAGCCTCACTGAACGTGGATCTGAGGAAAGGGAAGCAAACAGGTTGCTTATAATGCCAAAGGATGCCTGGGGAAGGACAGCAGCAGCCAGTGGGGCCTCCCTGCCTGCAACCTCCAAAGGCAAATCCTGGGCAGGCGGATGAGTGAAGGGCTGCCCAGCAGCTCCAGAGGTGAGTTCCTGCTTTTTATGACCAACAAAACAGACCAAAAATACCACAGCAGCTGTACAAATATCAAATGATCCCTTCACGAAAATAAACCTAATTACTTCCCTTCTTGGAGTTTTGTCTTGTGGTAAAAGCCCACTCCAAACAGATCTCCCCTCTTTCCTCACATGTTCTGGAAAGCAGTGAGAGGAACAGATCAATTATTAATGAGATTTCCGATATTTTAGCTGACATCAGAACAGGCCTTTTCTCAAAAGTAACAGGGCAGCTTCCACACTCTGAAATTTAATTTCAGGCTCTGCAGTTTGACATAAACATTCAGCAGGAGTTACCCCTCAGTCAGATCTGGATTTCTGTGCACTCCTTACACACAGTGAGGATGGCATTCAAAATCAAAGCTGACAACCTAGAGCACAGAACTGACATTCCATCTCATTTCCCAGACTTTGGCAATGTTGAGCTCCACGATACTACCCCTGACACTTGGTTATTTGCACTGTTTGTTGCACATAACGAACCAGATGGTAATTTTTGATTTCCCCCACAATCTCTCAGGAACTCCTGATGCTAAAAATACTCTGAAAATCTGATTTAAATACTTCAGTATCAAAAATCACAGAATAGTAGCAACTGAGAGCTTTAAAAACCACAAAGGGAAGTCTGAGAAACAGACACTGAAGAGAAGATTAGGTGGAGAAACCAGCAATTCTCTGGAGATTTTAGCAGAGAATCAGGACATTGTAATGAAATTTAAAACTTGCACAAGCATTAGAATAAAATGATGCATTTATGTCACTGACATTCTGTGGTTATGCATTAACACTCCACATCAGGCCATCTTCTACTTTAGAGCTTTTAAGAAAGGAAAAAAGATGTCTTCATCTTCTATGGTGTCATGCAACCCTTAAAACACTGAATTTTCTGTGAGTTTTAGATGCTCAGGATCTACAGAGCCAAGAAGGATGAGGGTACAGGGTCTGTTCATCCAGGAAAGGGGAACTGCAGCCTGGAGTGATTCACCCCAAACACCATCATTTCAAAATTCCAAAGGGTTCTGAGTGAGCCAAAGCAAGAAAACCCCAGGTTTTTAGATTGGTTCTGATGGATGAAATCCTGCTGAAGGACAGGCAAACAGAGGAATGGCTGCAGTGCCTGACATCAGTACTCCTGCTTGGAGAACAGGCCCTGGGGACTGAGGCACTGCTTGCACCCAGGCTGCAGTGCCAAGCTGTCAGCTGCTATCAGTTCCAGCATCCCGGCTGGAATTTCAGCCAGGTTGTCCCCAGGTGCTAGAAGCAGCCTCCAGGATTTCATACTCTGAAAACAAACAAGCAAAGAGTAGAAAAAACCCCACTAACAGCAAAACCAGGCAAAAAAAAAACAAACATTCAGCTGCTCTGGGCAGGGGAAGCAAGGCAGGATGTGGGGCTTTCTCTGGCAAAATCCTTCCTTCCAGGGCTAAATCTGCAGGACCTGGGTGGGAATATATTTCAGAGGGAGTTTTGTGCCTCTTCTGTGCTTGGATCTCAAGGACCATCAGCACTGGCCCATTCCTCATCAAAAGGAGACTTGAGACAGCAGGTTAAAAAGTAAAACCAGAAAAGTTCAAGGATTTTTTATTTCATTTTGGTTTGGATTTTCATTGTGGGGTGTTTTTAGTGCTTGCTGTTTCTTTCTTTTAAAGAAAACAACCTTCAGCTAACACCACTTATCATTTTTGGCACCATCTGAAGATTTTAAAGCTATTTTAAATGCACAAAAAAGCAAGAAGGTTGTTTCAGAAATTTGGGCACACTGGAACAATCCTTAAGAGGAGATCTGCAAACTGTAGCACCACTAGTAGGTATCAGCTCCTCCCATGCTCTTCAAGTAATTTATGTTGGAGAGACAGCTTTGTAAATTAGATTCATGGTCTGTTTCACTCCTATGCAAAAAGTGGATTAAAATGTTGATCATTTTAGTCTGGGTTAAACTGGAAACAATGACTTGGAAATGAAAATGAGGAAGTATAATTTAACAATTCTGTACAAATCTCTCCTTTGCCATTAAGAGGAATAATACACAATTTCATTTGCACACAGATAATGCAGACAGAAATTGCAAAGTTGTGATTAACTCTGCTTTGGCAAGTCATTCAGTCCCATTACAAATGTATAAGTTTAAAAAATGTTCACTTTATAATTGGATAGCATCTCTCAAGATATAAAAATTTAATTTTATTCCACTGCTGCTTTCAATTTCTCAGTGGACAGAGCCTGGAGGCCACATTTCATAACATGCCTTTCTGAGTCACAGCATCAAATATTTATGAAGTGTTTATTTAGAGCATTGACAAAATCCTGTAGATCACCTCTGAATCCCTAAAGGGAATCCAACACCTTGGGAGCAATTAATATCTGGATTTTTTGTAAGGAGTCTGTGGAATTCTTACACAGAATTCCAAGCTCAGGATAGTTCTTTTGTAATCTGAAAACACTGAAGGTGATTAGCATGTGTTTCTACCTGGTTTGCCTCTGTATAGCCTGAATTTGCAGGTGTTTATCCCATTCTTTCAGGTTCTTGGATAAGAACCAAGCAGCCTGAGGGCAGAATAAATAAGGACATTTTATGATCACACAAACACCGGACCTCAAATTCCCATCTGAGAACCTGGCTCCAGAGAACCCTAGAGTCTCTGCTAACAGAACCCCAATCATCAATAAAAACTAAATCAAAGTCATAAACATAATTAATATGTTTTCAATGCCGTTCCTGTGTTTAGATACTGAAGATACTCTCATTTTTAGAGATTCTCTCCATGATCAGTGGAGGATCTCCATGATCTGCTGTGGCTCTCCCACTCCAGAAATTCTTGGAGAGAAGGTGCCCAACTTCAGCATTTGGTGCACAGGCTGCTGTGCCAGGTATAAAAGGAAAGCTGAAGGATGGAAGAATCCTCAGATTTTTCATAAATATCTGGGTTTGCCCAAGCCTACAGGAAAAGCAGCCTAAGAGAAAACTCCCTTCTCACGTGTTTTAGTGGACTTCCAGAGGCCTCTGGGACCTGAAGCTCCAAGAGAAAAACAAGAAACAAATCCCAGGAACAGAGTCCAGTGGGTTCAGTCTGTGTAAAACCTGCAATGCAGCTCTTTGCCACTCTCCCTGCTTCTTCAAAGGAACTGGGGTTTAAAATAAGAGAAAAACTTCCTATGGGGAGTGAAAAACAGCCCCAAAATACTGCTGGACCCTTAACTCTCTGCCTTTAAGCTCTACAGAGAAGTGGATTCCATCTCAGTTTGGGATCAGGGCACGCTGACAGCACCAGTCCAGCTGAACCTAATTCATCCTGGCTGGCCTCGTTTATTGTGCTCAGCTCCTGGCCAGGGGTCCCTGCCTGGGAAAGGATGGACTGCAGGGAGTCTGAACCTGTGAAATGGAACAAGCTCACATCTCCAAGTCACCTGAAATCAAAGAACTTTTTTAATGATTAAAGGAATCACTTGGGTTTATTTTTTCTGCAGCCATATACCCAGTGCACGGTGCCACAAAAATGATGTGATTCCTTTCAGAGATGGGCTCCATTGTTACATAAACACTTCCATGAAATCATCATGAATCACTTGAAGGACAATGTGATCCAGCTGTACATTATTAGTGACACTGAGTAGTAAACAACTCTGCTACCAAGGCAGGCAGAGCACAGGCATGAGAAATATCTGAAGGTGGATGAAGCAGGATTCCAGGAAAGATCCTAATGGTGCATGTGGGCAAATCTGCACTGAGCACACAGCCTCTGTCTGCAAATGGACTGACAGAAATTCCAGCCCTTCTGGTACTGATGTCTTGTTATTCTTTGCTGCACTGAGGAGAAAAAGCAGCACTTCTTACAGCTGGGAAAAAAAACAACCCAAAATTGACTGGAATTACCCCTCAATACTCATCCATTTGTATCTGCAGACACACACCACTAGAACTTCTGAAAATAGCAGCACATAGAAACCTAATTAGCACCTAAATGAAACATTTGGTATTTCCGACTTCCAATATTTCTGTAGCTCCTATCTAAATGGAACTTATCCATAATGAGTTCTGCACTACTCTGTGCATCATTCTGAGTGGATGTACCTCTGATGAGGGAACTTTCCTTTCTGGAGAGCTCTCCTCTGAAAGGGGTGCAGATGCAGTGCAGGTGTGCTGCTGAAATAACCAGCACTCTGCACTGCACTCCCCAGGCCTTGCTGTCAAAGCCACCCTCCCATAGGTGCTGCATCACTCCAGGCTTGCGCAAGATCAGTTCAAGTTTTCCCTACTCCGCTCCTCCAGCAATTTGGATGCAATTCCCCCTTCCAGTGACATGGGAGCACGCTCTCACCTTGGCAAATACACTTCCACTTTTTGCTTCTTCACAGAATTAGCCCATTCATTAATCAAGGAGGCCTTGACCAGTGGTTCCAGTGTGGCCAGGGGAACCTCCTGCCTGGAAAGGATGATCATCATGCTGATCTCATCCCCCTCATAGGGTATTTCCAGGACCTGGTAGATCCCTCCTGCTTCGTTGGAGCCATCACTGAACTCTCCTAGAGGACAAGAACAACAAAAACCCTGTTAGAACAATTTTCTTCTGTCATTAGCTTAAATAGGCCTAATCCTAGGTAGTATTTACTAGATACTGGAACTAAAAATGACCCTCTTTATTCTGTATAAAATTTATATTGGTTTCTTCATCACAGAATTTGAAGCTTACATTTGATTTCTTAAAGAATACAAGTTCAAGTTATCACACAGTTTGTAGATAATCACAGTTCTGGGACATAACTTTCAGTGGTTAGGCAGAGAAAAGACTAAAATTTAAGGCTGCTGAGACTTTCAGGGAAATGGGCAGAGTTTTTTATTCAGGAGAGAGGATTTTTCAGTGATGGGATTGAGCAAAACGTTGCCAGTGCCAGACGTTTTAAAACCCAGTTGGAGTTCAAGCTCCAACTAAAAATGATCATTAGTTTTGCTGTTCAAAGAACCTCTATTTTACCAGTCCAACTGTAATGAGCAAACATTATTCATGTGAATGTTTAGCACAGCACAAGAAAAATATTTTTGTGAGAAGCTCAAGAATTGCGAAGAGCTTAAATCCAATGGATAAACATTCTGAAATCCATCCTGTGGTACCAAGCAAGTCATTATAAATGTTGCTACCAGTTATAATACACACATTAGGGAAAATAAAACCCAACTCTGAGTCCCTTCTCTGGGCAAGCAGCACATTAGAAATTCTAGGTGGAAGAAGAGACAACAATACAAATGGATATTACTGCAACAAACCCATTAAGTGAAGATTTAGTGGCTCCAAATTGCTAAAGGTCTAACTCACCGTAGTAGAACTCTCCCTGTTGGTACATCATTGGAATTTGCACTTCACTTTCATCATCTTTAGTGAAAGAAAAAGTTCTGGTATTTTCAGGCCTGAACTGTGACTTCCAGTTGCCTTTAAAGTAGATTGCATTGATGAGAGCCAAATGAGTTAGAGCACCAAAGTCTCTTGAAGACACAAAATCTTTGATCATACCTAAAAAGAAACCCAGCTGTCAGTCTGCATGTCAAAGTGAGCATTAAATCCAAACTTAAGGCAGCTTGAAAAATGCAGGAAAATAAAAAGCAGTGTTAACATGTAATTTCCGATTCAGATGTTTCATTAAATCTCCAATTAAAGTGCCAGTGTTTTGTAAACCTAAATCACAGTGTAGGTGTGCAAAGCCTTTCATCAAGTACGTGTCAGACAACTGTTTCTTGATCACTACTAAATATACCCTACAAGGAAGTCACGTGGAAAAAGAGTCACATTTGGAATGTTTGCCCTGCTGCTACGAAACAGTTCAGCACTTCCATCTTAAGGTCAGAACTTGTACAAACTTTGGCTCCAATCCAAAGAAGCACTTAAATGAGTGCTTGATTTAAAGGGATTTAAGTGCACCCACTGCAGCTTCACCTGGGCCAGTTCTGAAGGAGCTGCAGTGATCTGATGAATTCAAAGCCAGGATTGAGCATCAAAAATCCACATAAATTCCCAGCATTTGTTCCAGTGACATTAGCTCTTGAAAAGCAAAAGAGGAAAACCATCTAGCATCTGCTCTATTCATGGGAGGTTCAGCAGCTGAGCATGGCAGCTGCTTTGCTCCTACTCCTGAATAAGTCATTTACATCAGAATGCAGTCTGGTACCTGCTGTAGCTCATCTCAAACGCCTTGCATTTCACCAAAATCATTCCCAGCTTGGTAAACTGGGAGCACTGACCAGATCTGTCACTGTTCTTCTGGAATTACAGCCTCCTTCAGATTGCTTTCTTGCTCACTTCTATTTTTAGCTGACATTGAAATGCAAAGTGTTAAAATAAACACATTCCTCGGTCTGATTATTACTCCTTAATCCATGGTTTAAAAAACAAATTAATTCTGCTTTCTGGAGCATATGATCCTGACTAACTGGTGTGAAATTTGTGTATCACAGGGCTGGATTTCTTCCGGGTTGCTGTTTGTACTTCATTTTATCTCAAATGTTCTAAGGAGGGAGGTGTGACCACTACTCACTTGGAGTTGGAAAAAAAACTAAAGGGAAACCAAGAAGGAAAACATTTCTAGATCTCTAGCTGGTACTCATATTTCTTTGTGTTTTTTCAGCCACATCTTGTTAATACATTAATGAAATGTTAAGACTTTTCCTGCCCAGAGAAACCTTTGATGGTTCTGTTTTCTGCTCCGAGCCTCCCATCATGCTGAATGTGCTGGAACTGGAAAACCTGCCTCTGCTGTGCCCCTTTCCTAAGGGGGAAATCGGAGACAAGGAGTGGGCAGGGACCAGCTGAGGGACTGGAACCATCGCAGCCTGACACCAAGAGCCCCCCAGCTGCCCTGGTGGGCCCTGCTTTTCCTTTTCCCTCAGACAGACACTAAATCCATGGAAACACTGCAATCTGCTGCATCACTTACACACAGCTATTTCTGCAGCCTGAGAGAAAGGGCAGTTTGTTAGGAACAGAATGGCTGCTGTGTTCCCTTGAAAAAAAACTAGACCATTTTCAAAATGGAATAAAAGCATTGTAGGAGGTGCTTTTCCACTTTGGAGCTGTGCTTTTCCATAAAGCATTATGGATTCTTAAGTGCTCAGACTACAAGGGGATGTGTTAATTCCTTCCAGGTGACTCCAATCCCTTCAGATTCCCAATGGTACAACTGTGTCAGAGCCAGACCTCCATGAATTACTGTTAAAATATCAAGCTTCAGAGTGGGCCAGATGAACCAGAATGAGAACATGCTTTGATCCCTACACCAGGAGACTCCCAGCTATTGGGACTCAGCATGGATCCAGGAAATGCCACCTCTCTGGGAGCTGCCAAGCCAAGCCAGCACCACGCAGCTTTCAATGTGCATATTTACAACAGTAATTTTGTGCTTAACTCCCCTGCTGCAAATTTGTGTTGTGAAACTGTTGATAGCGTTCCTAAAATCAACTACCCTCTCAACATGCTATCTCGTTTCCTCACACTGAAAAATATTACATTACACACTCTGATTTTGTGGTTCAAAATTATCTTTTTATTCCCTACTATTCTATTTCTCAGTACCTTGTGAGTATGAGCTCCTCAGAGGAGGAATGATACTCCACACATCCAAAGCATGAGCCAATAACCCCTCTGCAGACAACTCTTCTGCCATTAGCAATAATACTTCTCATGTTTTTTAACGTTTAAAATACTATCAAAATGCCTACCATTAAAACAGTCTCATTCAATAAATGTTACAGATGGTAAGAACAGAGAACAAATATTCAAATAGATGCCACATGATCAACAATGACTAATGTGACAGATCATTCCTACACAGGAAAAAATAGAAATACTAGAATTCTTTTCCTGGGAGGAGAAACTTCAGTCTCAGAACAGATAAAAGCCAAAGCACCAACCCAACATCACTGCACAAGTTTGGGAGCAGAAACACTTCCTGAAGGAAGTCTACAAAAGGATCACATGGACTTACTATTTGTGTGATTCTCCACCCATTTATTGATCTGAGTAGCAACAGCTGCACTTTGGCTGAAATCTACATTCTCTACTTCAGCCTTAAAGTATTTTTTCACCAGCTGCAGGAATTTGTCGCTGACATGAAACCCGTTCTGCACGTAGAGGGAGTTGGCGATGTCCAGCACGTAGTGACTTTCTTCAGCAGTTGCCATGTCAGAAAGGTCCTTCAGGAAGGCAAACTCTTCACCTGGGGAAGGGAAAAAACAGCTTCAGTGGCTCAGAAAGGAAAATTATTCCATGACTTTTCTGCTGAAAATTCACAAAAATGTTTTATGCAAAGGGAAGACATCTTTTTTAAACAAACTTGTTTCTAAACCTACACCTTCAGATCTGAAGGAATAATCTCTGAGATCATATTACTTAGAGCCTGTATTTTCTACTAGCTAAAATTATTCTAATTAATGAGACATTTGAGTCCCACCAGTAGCAAAGCTATCAGTGGAAATTCTTTCTACACCAAAAGAGAAATTTAGAAAGTTCTTACAGGTTCCATTTCTAAGTCTCGCCACCAAAAATCCATAATGAAACTTCTGTTCCATCTGAAATGCCTAGAGTTGTTTAAGGAAAAATTAACTTCAAATCTTGAAACTAAGGATCTCCCATAGTCTTTTCTATGCCAAAAGCAGATCTAGACTTTCTCAGGATCTTTAGTGGGGCAGTACAGAATCCTTGGCAGGTAATGAGGAATCCTGGATAGGACTAAAACAGTCTGATTTAAAACAGGAAGCTTGTACTGCTCCATCATTATGCCTGAAGGTGAAATTTTTAATTTAAAACCCAACAAAATAAACCTTAAAAACTGATTGCTATGATATATTCCAAGCAGAAATCATGGGAACACTTTTACTCATATCTCAGAATAGTGAACAGCCCAGAAAAAAATCAACTGCACAACTCCCTCCATTACAGCTAAGGGATAATTAATTATTGTTATAAAGACACAATGTAGAACTCAGTTGGTGCTGCAGCCTCCACAGAGAGGCATCAGCTCTGCAGTGGTTCAAACACAGTTTGATGTCTGTGTTCAGAAATTCCTCCCCAAGATCCTTTCATTGAAGACTCCAAATCTAGAACACTGCATAAGAAATTTCATTCAGGTTTCAAACCTCTTACTTGGATGTAAGTAGAAGCAATTTTGCTGAAACTACTTCTTTCCTTACCAGCTTTCATTATAACCCCTAAAAACAACGCTCCTAAAAAATCCTCTCTTTCTAGAGGCCAAGGCAAGTTTATTTTGCAGCAGAAACCAAGATGAGCAGTGTGAGCTGCAATTGTTGAAGATTCAGGTACCCCAGACAGGGTTTTAGGTCAGTGTCTCTCAGCTCACGCAGAACCCACATATTTGAGCCTGCCCAGGCCATCAAGGACACCGAGAAATCCAGTGATTAATAACCCATGGACATGAGCAGCCACTCCCACCCTTGCTCCTGTTTCTCTAACACAAAAAGTAAGACTTGATGGAAAGGCCTCACCATTTTTCAAGCTGTCAAACCCCAAGGAATGTCGGATTTCCTTCAAGGTGGTTCCATGGGCTCCCAACTCCACCATTCCCATGGCTATGGCAATGCTCAGAGGGGAGAACAGGATGTTCTCATCCTCCCTCGTGGCTCGCAGCTGGTTGTAAATGTTCACAGAGAGCTCAGAAATGGTTTCATCAGGAGAACTGGTCTTGAAGGCTTCGCTTTGCAAAGCGAGCAAAGACAGCAGTCCAAGGAAATACATGTCTTGAGATTTTAAGGCCTGCAAGATGAATTTGAGACAAAATAAGATTGCTTGAATAATATAAAATTCAACTTGAAAGGAAGAAGAATAGTCAACTTTTTAATCTTAAATCTGTGGGGGAAGACAATCCCTAGAGCTCAGTGCACAATGAAGTTATTTGGAGGAGACACTGTTATAACATAAGTAATGATGTATTTTCACACACAAAAAAACTCCTTTATGTTTGTGAAATCTTCCAGCCACAGACTTCTACAGAAAAAGACCCCAAAGACAGCAACTCCTTCCCTACTTCCCTTTGGAATTGTGGCTGTTCAGCAATGTTGACCTGGAACTGGTTTGTTTTTCTGCACTTCTCCACCAAGAAGACCCAGAAATCTGCTATTTCTTTCATTTGACCTTCTAGTAAGATGCAACTTATTTATCTAAGTCATTCTAAGCCCCCAACAAGTAAAACTGTTTCAGACACTGCCAGAGAGCTGGCTGACACCCATGACAAAGTTACTGCTCCGTGATGTTGCTCAGTTGCAAAACACATGGCAAGCGGCCAAAAATTCTTTGAAAGAAAAAGAAAAAATATCAATCATGCCTTAGTTACCAAATAAACCCCTTTTTGTTAGTAAATACCAGTGAGAAGCTGGGTAGCTCTGCTAGCTGGGAGTCAACCCTCGCTCAGAGAGCCTCAGAGGACAAAGGTACTGCACAGTGAGAAAGATCCAACAGTGGGAACAAGGATGGAAACTAAATTTAAAAAAGGGTTAGCACTGATGCTTCTGACTAATCCATCCTCCCAGCTTTGCTGAAATGCTCTGGGATAAGCAACAGTTCTCACTCTACCCCAGTTTAGCTCATCACACAACTACTGATAGTAGAATTCCAGCTCCTGGAGCAGGGAATGTGTAACTTCATCCTTCCATTTTTATTTTCCTTTAAACTCCGTGCTACCTTGGCATGCAACCCACTACTGCTGCAAGTCTTGGGTGAGAAACAGCAACCACCGGAGCTCCCGTTTCAATTCCTTCCCTCTTCCACTCTGTCTCCAAGACACAACAGAGCAAATCCTGCTGAAGCAGGGGGTCGGACAGGACAAGGCTCAGAGCTTTATCCACAAGTGTTTACAAGTTGTTGTGCCAGGCTGTAGGGCTCGTCAGCACTGCACAGATTTGTGTGAATGCTGCTGCTCGGCCGAATTGATTTGCATGCAGCCAGCCCAAGTGCCTCTCCTTATGCTTCCCAGCCATCCTGGGGCTGCATTACCAGGGGTTTTATAGACATGACACAAAGTAAGCTTTATACAACATTTATATTCTGCATTTCATCTTCAAAGGCCTATGTAGCATTATCTAATTCACTCACACAGCACTGAATGATCCATAATTTAAGTGTTATTACTTGCATTTTATAGCTGAGGAAATACAAAGAACAACAGGGTACACACACGTGCCTTGGCAGCCACTGGTGCCAGCACTAGTTAAGATTCCTCCTGTCCCCCAGCCTCCATCAGCCTTTTGTTCAGTCCTGAACTGGGAAAATCGAAGAGATGAACCAGTGCAGCAATCCCACACGGTTCAGGGGAAAGGAGAGCCTGGGCACTCCCCTGCCCCTCATCTCTTTTCCTCTGATTCTTTCCACATATGTAAGAAATATTCCCCTTTCTACATTTCCAATAAATTATCTATGGCGGCAACACTTCTGTGGATTACTTGATCAATCTTCCTCTGATTCCTAGTAAGATAGCAAAAATGTCCACTGAAGGCTCTTATTCCATTTAGGAACAGCACAGATAAGTCATAAAAGCCTAAAGCACCAGCTTTAATCCTCCTGTCTGCATGTTCCAGTGCTCTGGCAGAACTACCCAGCACCTCACTGCTGCCCAGTGCAAAACACCAGTTTGACCATCACTATTTATCTCAGAAACACTGAGACACTATTTATAACCCTAAACATTATCAACACACCACAAACTTCCCCAACAACGGCTTAATAGCAGTTCATTTTTTTAACCTGCCCATTTATAAATTATTGACTTAAGGATATTAATGTTTCTGTTATAGAAAATAGCTGGATTTCTCTGTGATCATGGGCATTGGAGATTTCTTTATTTAAAAGCCCTGGAGCATGCCTCTGCCAGTGTTACGTAAGACTTCAGCCAGCACAGCACCGTGATAGACTGAGCCCAGGTATTATTCTCTTATCCTAAAAGCTGCACTAGGCAAGAAAAGCTTAACAAACCTCCATCACACAGGTCCATAGTGGCACCAAAAACAGTACTCAGGAAACAGATAAGCAGGAGCTCATCTTTCTTTTGTTGAGGATGAGCCCAAATTTGGGAGCTCTCCCATCCTAATCTATACAAACAAGTGGTGCAGCTCAGTATGGATGTAATTATATAGAGAGCTAAAGCTTTCCACTCCTGGATCAAGAAGGGCTTAAGCTCACTTGGAGACCTGATGTGGTTAAAACAGATGTGAAATAATCTGCAATTTTCAAAAAGGGAAGTCCCCCAGCCTTGCAGTGGCAGAGGCAGCTGTTCAGCACTCCATCTCTGATCTCTGTCCTATGTACTACTGCCAGACAGGCTTAAATAATTGCATAGGGGAAGCAGGGGAGAAATTTATACATCTTAATTAAGTGTTAAACATGCAGGTCAGACTGTCTGAAAGCTAATAAAATGTTTGTTATTAGACAATGCTGGAACCCCAACATTATACACAAATCAAAATCATATTTCTATGTGACCACTCACCAAAAGCTCCTCATGTGAAATAATTAAGCTGTATTACTTTTCATTATTTAGCTGGACAGAAAATAGATTAAGTACATAGATGGAGACAAATAGAATTTATACTGAAATGCTCTTAAAAAGACAAAGTACCAAAATTATGTTTTTAACTACAAGCCAAATCCCACCGATGGCAACACAAGAGGCTGAACTGTGCAGAATAGAAGTTCCCAGTAGGAATGAATTAAAACCAAACAATTTAGATTTCCTCCCCTGCCCTTCCACATCATTTTAGTGTAGAGAGGTTTTCTAATGAAGTTCAGAGTGAAGTTCCCCATACAGACACCAAGGGGAAAGGAAGACAGGGAGGCAGGAATGAACACATGGATACAGGCAGAGAATTTATCAGCTCGTTTGTTGGCAATGCTCTCTGAAGTGAAAATACAAAACTAAGTGAATGAGTCCAGTGCAAGGGAAGATGCTTTAAAGCAAACTAAAGATCTGTGGGTGCTGGTCAGTGGGGAGGAGGCTGTAAAACACCACAGACATCTGATCAATCCTTGCCAACCGGTGTGAAAACGGTCTCATCTCATCCATCTAATGGTAACATCCATGGTAAATTCCTCAGTTCAATTCCTCTCACACTTCTGGCTCATGCACACACTGCTCTGCTGACAACTGGGAATCCAGCTCTTAATTATCATTCCAGCCAGAGCAGCTCCTGCTCCTCTGATCCTGCCTCCCCTTCAGGCTGGATTACTTTGGTGTTTGTGCTTCCTCAGGCAGGAGGGCTGGATCCGACCAAGAGCCGAGACTGATTCTGGTGCAGCATCTTCTCAGCATCTCTCCCCAGTCAGAGCCCAGGGCACCCTGGATTGTCACTGCAGCAGCAGCACTGAGAGCATCTTTAAATTGCCTGCACCCTACTCACAAACACACTCCAAGTGAAGGAAATGAAGCTGAACATTATGTAATGCACATCCAGGAACTTAAACAGTCCCTGGGAGTATCATCAAAATTTTACTCAGTCTTTTCTGTCTTCCTCAGACATCCCCAGTACAGTCTGTCATTGCTGATTTGCATCAATGCAATCTGGTTAAATCATCCTGCAGCAGTGGGAAAGGAGTCAACGTCCCCACTGAACAATGTTTAGAAATCAACAATCATCAGTTTCAAATGTTACAGTGTACATTTTGCTTTCATTGGCTAACTCTAAGCATAAAAAAGCTGTTAAAAATGCTTTCACTCCTCAGCCATACAGTAATTAAGGCCCAAGGTATGAATTTCTCCTTTGAGGGTGTGTCAGACAGATTCTGAGTTTTATTTAATTTCATCAATTGCTGCATGAACACCTCTCTCCTATCAGGCAATCAAGGAATGAGCGCAAATAAACTCTCCTTGCCACAGCCCCACCTTGAAGAACAGTTGTGCATCACAACTCCTCACTTGCTACAGAGGTTTGTCAGAGCATATCAGTTTTGTTCTGGCTTGCAACTGCTCTCAGGGGAAAAAAAGCAGCGATGGAACACTAAAACCAACAAGACTCCAGATATCCATCCTTCAGTAGGTACTGGCATTGAGGTCAAACCTGGTTCAATATCCAGGAAACTTTTTTTATTCAGCATTTCAGAAAACAGCTGGAAAGTCCCAAAATTCAGCCCAGCACATTTCCCCAAGTGGCCACAACCAGCTCAGTGTTGCTGCTCACCTGCCCCGGGGCCAGCCCAGGTATTCTCCTGTGCACGGGCACGAGGGACACCCATTCTTGTGGTGTCTGAAGAAAAAACATTCATCTGATAAATACAGGACTGCTTATCCAGCTCTTGCCTTTCCCCAGCATAAGGCTGGGATGACTAAGAGGAAGCAGAACAAATTCGCCCCCTCACACCCACAAACTCTGAACTATTCGGTTCCAGTAAAATGCAGAAGGGGCAGGCGCTCTCTGTAAGCCGAGATATTTTGAGATACCCTATCAACAAGCTCCAACTGAGTTCACAGACACGAGGTACCACGAATTTTGAAACAGCAAGACCTGGACTTGGCGTAGGAAGGTGCCAAAAATTCAATTAAGGGTTGAATGCTAGTACCTTGTACTTGTCAGACAGGTTGAAAAAATGGGTTATAATTTCCTTTTCTTTTACACCTTTACAGAGGGTTTTATAAAGAAACTAATTTATGGCTTTAAAAACCTACAAAATAAAGCTGTGATACATTGCCTTGGTTCCTCAGCACACAGAGACTAAACTAAGATTAGTTGCCTTCAAGATTACTCTTGGCTACCTGCAAGCTAAACACCAAA